TAGAGTGGTCCAAAAAAAAAAGTTTTTTGCCTATCATCTTAAAAGCTTCTCTAAGACATAAAAAAAAATCCCTTCAAAGCGCAGCTTGATATATAAATTCTTTCTGAAGCTCAATGAATTTTTATTTTCCCATTTAAATAACACGTAAAAAAATTTTATTTACGTTTTCATCCGGTAAAACTACGAAAAAAATTTTTTTTTGCATTTTTTGTCAATTATTCTTATAGGAAATTTCATTCTCTACAAAAAAGTACTGATGTAGTTTTTTCGTAATCTTAACGAGTAAAAAGTTATTGAGCTTTAAATACTTGCACAAAAGAAAATTTAAACGAAGATAGTTTCAAAGAACTTTTCGAAAACTTTTTTGGTAACTGCATGTATTTATTTCAAAATTTATCAAACTAGACTGTCTCTAATATAATTAATAACACATGTCTTTTGGTGAAGTATTAACTAAGAATTATGAATAATTTCTCTCATTACAATTTGGATATTTTTTCGTATGAGTAGTGATTTTTTAAAATTGAACCTGAATTTCATTACGGAATCTGAATCAAGAGCAAGCTAGTACTTCCGGATGTATACTGAAGTTATTTTTTTTATTTAAGAACATGTTGGACAGGTAGAACAGGTGAATATTTAAATTTTGAACATGATGCTTGGACACTTTTTGACCAAATGAAAAATCATGAAACTTTGCAGGAGTACGTAAATAGAAGTTCTTCGTGAATTGATTTTTTTATTTTTGAATTTAATCATTAAAAAAAAAAATGATAAATAAACAGGTAGAGTTCGTGCGTAAAACTGCCTTATCTCAGGAGTCATCACATATTTAAGTAAATAAGCTTGACTATAAAGAAATTGCTAATAAACTTATTACAACCAATATAATCTTTGAGACTGATTTAATTTTTTGGTTTTTTCTCATTTTAGTTTATATGACTTATAAGACATAATTATTAAAATGCAGCTAGGTTTTAGGGTAAAAAACTAATTGTCAACAAAAAATTTAATTTACTATATATCTTCATGTAGGCCGCAAGAGAGTGCTAAAAGTAAATTATCTAGTTAAATTTTTTTAAGCAGTGTGGTTAGAGTATTTACAAAGTCTGGTAATCTCCTTCAGTGCATTTTACATGTGGTTCAAATAAACAAACCGATATATTAAATTGTCATTTGTTGTCACTGGTCCAGACTGAATTACCGACATCAGGCTGTATACCATGTTTTTAAGAAAAAAATATAAATTACATAATCAAATACTTTGAAACAGAAAATGTGATACAACATGGATTCTAAAATCATATCTGATTGAATTTTCTTTTATTGCGAATATTTAAAGCTTAATAACTTTTTACTCGTTAAGATTACGAAAAAACTACTTCAGTACTTTTTTGTAGAGAATTAAATTTCCTACAAGGATAATTGACAAAAAATACAAAAAAAAATTTTTTTCGTAGTTTTACCGGATGAAAACGTAAATAAAATTTTTTTACGTGTTATTTAAATGGGAAAATAAAAATTCATTGAGCTTCATGAAGAATTGAGATATCAAGCTGCGCTTTGGAGAGAATTTTTTTTATACCTTAGAAAAGTTTTTGAAACAGCAGCACTTGAAAAAAAAAAAATAAAAATGTTTTTTTTGGACCACTCTAATAATTATATATGATTATATTTGGCCATTTTTCATATATAATCATATATAACCAATTTATATATAAATATTTTTTCTCGGGTATATAAAACTATTTCACTGCGCCCAAAAAGCCCGTGAAAATTCTACAATTGCTTGTATTTTTCACACTAAATTACAATTAAGATTGATGAAAAAATTTCCAAGCGTGTATATGTCTAAAAATCCAGTTTTCACAAAATATTATGCCTCGCGGACCCGGAAGAACTGGGCCCTGAAAAAGAAATTTGACAAAATCGGACAGAGAGTATTTGATTCCGGGTTTATAAATTATGCAGATAGAAAAAATATGACTAATCTGTTAAGGAAAATAAGAAATAAAGAAAGAATTGAAGCCTCTGAACAAATGGACGAAGTAACCGAAAACAATTTAATTCCTGCTTACAAAATTTTTGGGGTTAGTTTGATCATAGCGTTATTAATTTTTTTTTGTCGAAGTAATAATAGAAAAATTGTCCACTCATATATCCTAAAACCGACGATAAGCAAGCGATGTCAAGAGTTGACCTAAAAATTGAGCGCCGAAAGACTATCAAAAAACACAAAAGCGAAATCGTAATCGAAGATCTTAGTTACCGTGAAAATAATTTGTTGATCGTATAAATTTATCTCAAGGGTTTAAAAACGCACATACCGTCCGTCTATTGATTTTAACATAAACCAGTATTTTTTCAATGGAATAATAAATTTATATTGCATGTTGTTGTTGTGTGTGTTGAGTGATGATAATATATAATATCAATCGATTAATTTACTTAGAACTGAAATGAAATGGATTATCATGTTATTCACTATGTAATAATGAAAAATATATTGATTTGTTTGAGAATCTCAATTTCTATTTATTAACAGCCATAACTACTTGTTTTTTTTTTTTAACTTCCCTTTAAGAAAATTAAAAATTTTCTAAAATCGGGGAGTTATTGTTTTTACCCGTTTTTCGAAAATGAGTTTTTATCAGATCTCGACGTTTTGATGTCCTCGGAAGCTTCCCTGACTAATAAAAAATAAATATGCTCATGGTTTTTACAAAATTATTTTTGTCTATTACACTTTCGGAAATAAAAATTACTCAAGTAGCACTGTTAATTTATTTTATTTCTCTGAAAATTCTCTTAAATAGTCTTAATAAAATTTTTAAAATGACTTATAAACTCTGAAAAAGTGTCAATAATAAAAGTTGGAAAGTCTTAAGACTTCCTAAGAACTCTTAATAAGTTTAATATTCTCTTAAATTTAGGACTTTTGAAAGAGTTAATAAAACTTATTAATAATTCCATAAAAAATTTACGGATAAAAAGAAGGGTTTTTAAGAGTTTTTTATAATAATAAAAACTTAATAAATAATTTATAATTTTTTGGTAAAACCAATATTTGTCAATAAAAAATTTACAGGAATCATGTAACATCAAGCATCCCATGCTTTTTTACGATTAAGTCAATTTTTTTATCAATCACCTTATTTTTATTTTAAACTCATTGAAAATTATTTTCTACTTTTAAGTTAGGTATTTTATAATAATGCGTATTTTTTATTTTTTTGAACTATTAATTATTTTATTGGAATCTATGTAAAAAAATTAAAATCGTCGTTCATAATTACGGCAAAATGTCCATGAAATATTATTAATTACTAATTTATTTGAATCGATTACAGACCCGAAGTAAACAGTGTATGTAGGCAGGGTAAGACTTAAATTGATTGCTCAGTACTAACATTGTACAAAGTTAATCACAAAATAACAAAGTCACCTGAAGATGAGCTGAAGTGATTGAATTATTAACGACGATTATCTTTAACAAGCCAGCTCTAAAATCTGATTAACATGTAAGTAAATGAAGAAATAGTGAGTAGTAGTTATTTTATTTTTTAGATTTTTTTTTTTTTTTTTTATTAAAATAATTAACAAATGCATACATGTCTTTATTTAGTCAATAGACATCTTACTTTATAAATCCTAAATACTATATTTAATTACTTTCTAGTTATTCTGACTTATTTACAAAATAATATCATATTATATAAAATAGTTATTATATATTAGTGTATTACACTGCATGACAGCCTACAGATTAACCATCACTTTCTGAAACTGATTTTCTTGACACCGGTGAAGCAGACCTGTAATAAATCATTTATTACTTTTCAACATATTTAATATATAAATGTTACACTATAACCAATTAAGGGGAAGGGATTAGGTAGTCAGACATGAAAAAATGAGATTTTCAATAATTTTTTTTGCCAGTATATCATTTTACTTTATAAAAATAATAATATGGCATCATTACACAATTTTTTGACTTGACTTCACGAAAATTTGAAAAAAAAAAAAAAAAAATTGATAATTTCAAAATTTATGGCTGTTTGTGTTGACCCAGTTCTAACAAAAATTCCTTGCAGTGATCATCATAAATTCTGGGAGATTCATCGAAAATCAATCGAACAAAAAAAATTAGTTTTGTTAATAAATAATCTTGTGCCTGATCGAAGCTTTTTTTTTTTTTGAAAATTAACCAAATGGCGGGCTCAGGAAATTTTTCTCTCGATTTTCAGCAAAAAACCAACAGTTAATTGTTTATAAAAAATAGAAATTAAAAAAAAAAATTCTTCGATCAGGCACTTTTGAGTTTTTTTATGTATTCTAAAAGCTGTATCAATTTCATTAAAATCCATTGAGCGGTTTTCGAGTTACCACTTCAAATTTTCAGACAATATTTTTAAGATATTAAATTTAAAGAAAATGTAAAAAAAAATCAATTTTTTGAGTTTTCTGACTACCCCTAACCTCTTAAGTACAGAATTTAACCACTGTAGAAAATATTTAATGATCTGTTTGTAATAAAACCAATAATCAGTAATACTAATAAATTAAAATAAAAATATCAATAATTACCTAGCAGAACCACTCGCGCTACGAGATCTACTCCGAGAGCGGCTTTTAGACTTGGACCTTGAACGACTTTTGGATCGTGACCGTGACCGGGACCTTGAACCGCTCTTTCTCGACCCACTGGCAGATCTGGACCTGGATCTTGATCTGCTTCTAGAGCCGGTTTTCCTGGAGCCTGATCTAGACCTAGCTGGCGACCCGGACTTAGATCTTGATCTTGATCTTGATCGTGATCTTGACTTAGACCTAGATCGTGATCTTGATCGACTTCCACTGTGCCGAGATCCAGACCTGGACCTAGAGCGTGAGCCACTCTTGGACCTAGACCTAGACCTGGAACGAGATCCGGATCTGGACCTTGATCTTGAGCCGCTCTTGGATCGAGATCTAGACTTTGACCTGGACTTTGAACGCGATGAACTTCTCGAGCCGCTTCTGGACCTTGATCGAGATCGAGAGCCTTCCGATTCAGATCGGATCCTCTTTTTGCTTTTGCTGCTGCCTGGCTGGTCTTTCTTTCTCTCGTCCTCGCTTTCCGACTCACTCGTCGAGATGGTCTCTTTAGACAGAAACTTGGAGTTCCTGATGACCTCTGGTGCCGGTTTCTTTGGTTTCTTTCCACTGCCAAGTTTTCTGCCTCGTGGGCCTTTGGGCTTATCATTGTCCGACTTTCTACTTCTGTGCTCTTTTCCATCACTGCTGACCTTCCTCTTCTTCTTTTTCTCTCTCGGGGTATCGTCAGGTCTTCTCTCTTCACCGCCCGAGCCACCACTGTCACTAACATATTGATCAGATCTTCCTCGCTTTCCTTTCTTGGTAGCTTTTTCTGACGGCATATCTCCAAAAACAACCGCATTTTTAGTTTTTTCAACATACTCCTGTCGCTTTTGCAACATCGCTTCTTCTTTTTGCCGTTTCATCTCTTCAATTATTTTCTTTTCTTCATTCTGCTTCAATTTAAACGCTAGCCTCTCCTCCTCTTGCTTCTTACGGAGCATCTTTTCTTCTTCATCCAATCTACGTGCTCTAGCAACATGGTACTGAGCCTGCGAAAGAAGATCTTGACACCTGCGAGCCTCAGCTTCCGCCAGTTGTTCCATTCTATCACCATGAGCCGCCAAATATTGAAAGTATTTGTGTGACAATCCCAATTCGTGTACTGCTTGAAGTACAGTTGTCAGTGTTGACTTTTCATCCTTGAGAATCTGCGTAGCAAGTCGTTGAAGTACCAACGCAATATTGTACAGCAGAATAGTATCTTGTGGAGCAACTCGTCGCGCTTTTAGCAACGTCATCTTGGCTTCCTTCAATTTTCCAGCCTTAAAATACGCTCGTGCAAGATATTGCAGCACCTCAACATGATGATACTTGTAAAACTTTCTCAAACAATTCTCATACATTTGAATTGCACTGACAAATTGTTTCTGTTCAACATAAATATGTGCTATATTCAACCAAACGTCGCAAAATTCCGCAGTAGCTTCTCTAACTTGCGCGAATATATCTCGCGCTTCATTTATACAGCCTTTATGAGCCAAAACCGCGCCAATTCCATTAGCAGCCCAAATATTCTTCGGGTCATTGCGTAACACCTGCTTGTACATCATCAAAGCTCGATCTTGATGACGCTTCTCGCGCTCTTTATCTTTGCCGCTCTGGTGCAAAGTTTGTAACCAAATATTACCCAGCGCAATCAGCGAGTACGCGTCAGTACTAGTCGATGGATTCTTAAGAATTCTTTCAAATTTCTTCTGACCAGGTCCCCACTCCATTTTCGCAAGATGCAAATTACCCAGCAGAGACCATGCGTCTGGGTGCTCATTATTTATCCTCAACGCGTCCTTAAACCAATCGGAAGCTTCATAAATCTGTCCCTTATCTCTCGCCATACAGCCTAATCTCAAGTAACAGTCCATGTAATTAGGATGCTCTTTAAGAATATCTTTATACAATTTTTCAGCGCGATCAAAAACACAGAGTGCTTCGTTAAGTCGTGCCAAATTGTAAGTAGTTGTCACGGCGATTGAGTTGTAGTAATTAGGATCATCCTGAGCGTCAGCTCTAGAACGAGCCAGTGATTCTTCAAGATTTTTACGCGCTTCTTCTAAATTACCGAGACGGTAATGCAGCGCTCCGACGTTGTTTAAAATCTCTGGAGGAATGTCAGCTTCAACTTTTTCTTTCAATATTTTGGTGGCTGTTCCGTAAGCGCTTAACGCACCATTCAAGTCAGTCTGCTCGAGAATTTGAGCAAGCTCTATCCAAGCTTCCACGTCATCGGGAAACTGCTCAGTTACTTTCCTGAGATGATTCCTGGCGATATCACGCTTTGATTGCGATGGTGAGTTTGCGTAAAGCGATCCCAAGATCTTCATGGTTTCGTAATTGCCTGGCTGAATTTTTAGGACTTTTTCAAAACACTGGGCTGCGTTTTCCGAGTCCCCACGGTAGACGTACATCTGACCAAGACCGAAATGCGGGAGAACAAATGCTGATGGTGCAAACTGAGTCGCTTGGTAGTAATATTGAAAGGCTTGATCATAATCTCTCTGGACGTGGAACGCTCGTGCTAATTGGTAGCAACTTTCAGCGCGCATCGCTTCGTTTTCTGTGTTATGGAAAGCGTGCAATGCCAAATGCTGAACTTTATTGTAATCTTTCTTGAAGAAAAAGTGATTCGCAAGGTGATTCAACACCATTGGGTTCGTAGAATCGATTGTGTAAGCCTTGGAAAGCATTTGGACACCACTTCTAATGTCGTCAGACTGCTGGAGGTTCAATTTTAATACGGACAATCCAACTAGAGCACCGACACACTGTGGATCTAGTTGAAGAGCACGTTCGAATGCCAACCGTGCTTTGTCCTGGTTACTTAATTTCATGAAACAGTGGCCCATTCCCAAGCGAACTGCTGCAGGACAGTTAGGATTTGTTCTGAGGGCTTTTTTGTAAAAAGCTAACGCGCCTCGGTAGTCTTTTTTGTTGAAGGCGATACAAGCTTTTCCTAGGAGAGATGGAATATTGTTTTGCGACTGGTTCAACACGAAATTGAACTGCGCATCCGCTTGATCTAGCTTGTCGCCTTCGAGTAAACAAAAGTAAGCTCGTCCCAGCAAGTGGTTCTGATCGTACATTATTATTTTGTCAGCAGTAGTGTACAGTAGCGTGGCCTTGGTGAACAGGTCACGCTTTTTGTCTTTGTTCTTCTCGCGGTTCGCTTCCTGGACGTAGTAAGCTGCCAGCATGTCCAGGGCGCGCATTTGGTCCTTTTCGAATTCCTTGTAGTCGATGGTTGCGTCATTGCGCGAAGACTCCAGAATTTTGATGAAGTCATCGATATTCTGTTGTTTGTAGTATGCAAGCTACGTAAAAAAAAAATGATAAGTAATTTTAGTTGAATTGATTGAATTTTTTTTAAATTATTAGCAATAACTTTCAGGAGCTGATGATAACACTAATGTTGAAATTTTCAAATAGGGGTGCTGCAATTGTAACACTCAATAAAAAACTATTAAAAAAACTAAAAATTATTATTTTTTTTTAACTTCTTCAAAATAGTTAGTAATTTATTGATTAGATCAAAGTTTTAGTCATTAATCTTGTTCCGATATCAAAATATTGAGAATTGTTGAAAATATGCGTGAAAACTTTTTTTTGTACGCTTTACAATTTTTTTAATAACAAACTTGTTTTCTGAATTAATTTTTTTTTTAATTTTATAATAATGAAAATTACAGAAGATAACCAATTCAGTTTTTTTTTATTCTAAAATTTTCTATTCTATAGATAATACTAAAGTTAACCGACGTTTCAAATTTTTTTATTTATTTTCATTTATTAAATTGGAATAAAAAAATGTTTTTTTTTAAATTGCACTTAGTTTTTCAAGTTTTTTATAAATTTTGACATTTGAAAATTTCAATATCAACATTACTATTATCTACTCCAAAATTTCCTTATAATTGATGACGCTGAAATCAGCAAACATCTGACAATTTTTTTGATTGTTATTATAGTTAAATAAATATAAATCTATAAAAATAAAATATTTAAAAAAAATTTTTGCTTGTAATTTTTTTTTAAATCTTTAACCATGAAATTTTTTCAATAATTTTAGTAGCGTTCTTATCCATAGTTTATAATATATTAAATCGGTTCTTATTTCCTGCAAACGTTGTATGAAAATTAAATAAACATCAAATATTAAATATCCTGAAAATAAAAACCGATTTAATATATTTTTCAATAATATTTTTTTATCATAATTTAGTTGGAATAAAAATCTAAAAAATTGACAGATATCTGTTAATTTCACTATCATGATAATTTTTTTTTTTTTTTCTTAATTTGTTTAAAGTCGCATAAACTACTAAGGTCATGAGCGACTACGGTAGGGGGTAAACTTTTGAGATTGGAACTCGTTTTATTTCTTGGGCTGAGCAGTATAATACACTTAAATATTGAAAATATTCATTGGTGTACGCCGGACTCGAACCCAGTCCAATGCTTTGGTAAGCGAGGGCCGGATCCGATAGGCTACTGCGCGCCTAATTTTTGATATTGTAAAACCAAAAATATTAAATAAATAAATTACTTACAGCCAAATCGACCCAGATGTGCAGTTTAGCTGATTCTTGACGTAGAATCGTGAGAACTTCATCTCCGTCTGGCAGTTGATTTACACTAAGCTCAATAACCTGAAAAAAAATATTTTTTATTGAAAATGTTACGATTATGATTACATATTACTATTTATATTCAAAATGCATCATATAAATCTAAGGTTATATTTTAAAAGGTTAAGCCCGGTTGTTTGGCGAAAAATCTTTCGGAGAAAAATGTAACTTTTCCGGGTAAAATTATTTAATCTGGTACATACCTCGTCAGTATCCTTGAGAGGAATCTCAATGGAAGTCGCCATTGCGTTAAATTAATAAAATTATTTATATTTTATTCACTATATAATAACACAAGTTTAATACGACATTCTCACATAACAATAATCACATTACCGATGTAAAGTGCACAAAAACATAAACCTAACTATATATCAAACTATTGTTTGTTAAACAAACAAAATCTTTCTATATATATTTGCCGTTTATGTGAAAATCATTCTGGTGTACTCTGGTGTGTATTAATCCAAGCTGTGGAATATTTTTTTCAGACTGTAGTTTCCCATCTGTTGTAGGATTACTGTTACAATTTCATATTATTAAATTAATTACTTAATTAATTAATTAAGAAAATAAAGTCCAAAGGCTCTGCCTTGTCGAAATGTAGATATCTACATTTCGTATTTGTTTACTGCTAAAATTATTTATTTAGAAGATTTAACTCATTGAGTGTCTCTGCTAATTATATTCAGTCACATGTGCAATAATTAAATTAATTACTTAATTAATTAATTAAAAAAATAGAGTTCAAAGGCTCTGCCTTGTCTAAATGTAGATCTACATTTCGTATTTGTTTACTGCTAAAAATTATTTATTTAGAAGAATCAACTTATTGAGTGTCTCTGCTAATTATTTTCAGTCGCATGTGCGATAATTGGATTAATTATTTAATTAATTAATTAATTACAATTATAGAGTCCAATGGCTCTCTATTGTCGAAATGTAGATCTACATTTTGTATTTGTTTATTGCTGAAAATTATTTATTATAAAGTCTCAACTCATGGAGTATCTCTGATAAAAATTTTGAGTCGCATGTCCAGTAATTAAATTAATCAATAAGTCCCAAAAATAGAGCCAAAGAGCTTACTATGGTCGAAATGTAGATCTACATTCTATTTTTATTTATTGCTAATAGTATATTACACACCTAGGGAAGTAAAGTAAGAAATGTCTCAGATCACATGTAATTGACCACAAACATGTGGTCTGAGGCTTTCTTATTTACTTCTCGTGGAGTGTATACTATTTTTTTGCTCGACGAAGGCAGAAAGGGGCAACTTCGTTTAGCGCAGCGGGCCGAAAGTTGACGCTTTCTGCCCGTCGAGCAAAAAAATTTATTTATTATGATGATTTAGCTATTCAAGTGTCTTTAATAGTTATTTATGTACCTTGGGCGAGTCACGCGCCAATACGGTCGAGGTGATAAGTATTTTCAGCAGGGATAGTATAAAGCCGAGGCCCGAGGCTTTATATCCCTGCTGCAAATAATTATCACCGAGACCGTATTTGCGCGTGGCTTACCCATGGTGCTTAAAAAATTTTTCGTCCTATGGCGGACGTATGCGGGTTTTTGCGTGCAGGGGAAACTCAATTTGTAAATAAATAGCGTAGGACGTCATAACCCTCCAAATCAAAATACATGAAAGTCTTGAAGTTAGTCATAGGTAGAAACTCGCAAAAACCGGGCTTTGATTCATTAGTGGTTAAAATTAATTCAAATAATAAATTAAAATTAATTCAAATTTCTAGTAAATATTAAAATGTAATTTTATTGTAATTAATAGTTTAAACGCAGTTATTTTAACATATTTTTTAATAAATCGCAATTTTATAATATTAAAGTAACAGTTCCCCGAGTTAAAGAAATTAACATCAATGAATTTAACTGCTTTACTAAAACAATTGATTTACAAATATTGAGATTATATTATCTTTTCAGCATATCATGCGCCCGGTGCGCTTTTTAAAGTTACAGTAAAAACGTAAGCTAGTCGGCTGTATAGAGATTGATGACGCATGCGTGGCATCGTCCTGGGCTGTATAAAGTTCTATACAGCCTAGTAGATACTGGCGCGTACGCGTTACGTATTATTTACAGATTGAGTATCGTCTGCACGTAAAAACCCCCATACGTCCGCCTAGGACGAAATAATTATTTTTAGTTGCTTTGGCAATAATAAGTTGATTAATTAATTTTTTTTTATAATATTTACTTTATTATTCTATAAAAGATGTACGCTCTTAGTCTCTTCATGAATTATCTCCCTTTATAATCAATTTGTAATAAAAATAAAAAAATTGCCCGATGTCTGCTGATTTCAATATCATAAAAAAAAAAACAATTCTAAAAGATAATTGTATAGAAAAAATTTTTTTCAATTCTACTTTTATAATTTATGTCATCCATTTTTTTTTTTTTTTTCATTTTATTTACATAAAAAAAATGTTGTTTAAACAGTTAAAAGTATAAATTAAACTTTGTAATGATAAAAAATATTACCAACGAATTTAACCGCGAAAATATAGAGTAAAAAAAAAACTACAGTTGAAATCGAATTAATTATTAAAGATGGCGTTAAAGTGCCGGATAATTTTTTTTTATCTGAGGAAAACACACCTAGGGACCATCGGTTCAAAAGGGCTCACAAAAATTATTTATAAACAAATTAATCCTGAGAAAGTACTCAGAAATAATAAATAAAAAAAGCACAAACAATCAAAATGTACATAGATAAATAATAATAATAACAAATAAATGGGAACAAAATAGGAGCAATAATAAGTAATTGATTTTGAAGGCGTGTGTTGTGTTGTAAATCCACTGTTTGAAGCCATGACAGAAATCAGCTGGTAAATAATATTCCCTTATTATTTTTAATATTTTGCTATAACTAAAAAAAAAATAATATCAACAAATCGTATATTTTTATTTTTAGGGTATCATGTCGAACGGAAGTGAAAATAATGAAACCTCTGGCTTTAGAAGAGACTGGAGAACATCCGCTGAAGCCTACCACAATATCAGTAAATTTTTTACACAATATAAAAATTATTCAATAAGTTTAATTAATAATTAATAAATTAAATTTTAAAAAATGAATATTGTAGTTGATAGATGGAAAGTCTGGAGTAAGAAGAGGCACACTGAGAAGCACAAGTGCTAGTACGTCCACTGGTACACCGACACCAACTCACACGCCGATAAATGTTAGCCTTGTGGGTGATCCATTATCGGGACATACGGCGTTGGATGGCAGCGATCCGCTTACGCAATTTGCACGAGAAGAATTGGATCCTCTGTCTCGCATGGCCGCCGATGAATGGGATTACTCGTCAAGTTTAGTAGCGCCGGGTAAAAAACCCCGTGACACTTCTGATGAATTTGTTGAACCTTGGTCTGTACGCCGGGCCTCTATTTTGAATAAGTATACGACTTCGGAAAAGCTTTCAATAGTCACGAGTTTTTTATCTGGCGGAGAAAAAGGTAGTCGTTGATAGTTAGTTTATTTAAGGGGAGAAAGACGTTTTCATGCTGATTTTTTATTAATTTTTTTAAAGTATGAAAATTAGTGTTATTTATTAAAACTATCAGGTTATTTCATACATATATCGACGTTCTAATTAGAAAATTGTCTAACTCCATTTTAGAAAATCTTCCATTTGTGCGAAAAAACAATTAGTTAAAAATTTATTATCACTTTAAAAAACAATTTAATATCTTATAGAAGTATAATATTTTGGTTTGGATCATTCAAATAATTTATAATTAGACTATTGCTAAGGTAAAAGACCCCATTAGTGGCACTTTTTCTTTCAATGAAAAAATATTCTACTTGGAATAAAAATTAAAAATTTTTTTGATCTAAAGGTCTTAAAGATTATAAATAATGTATTTATTATTGAAATTAATGATTTCATTGATTGAATAAGTACCAAAATCAAAGAAAGTATGAGTAATGGGATCCCCGCCACTAATGGGGTCTTTTACCCTACATCAAATTGTTAAAAAATCACCTTCTAAAAAATAAGGAGTTAGAAAATTCGGCTGCCCAATTTCAAAACACAGTAACCAATATTTAAAAATTTTTTTTAATTTTTCTTATTAAAAAAAAGTTTGCCTGCCAAATTGATGAAAAATTTGATTTATGAATAGAAAATACTTGAATATAAATATTAAAAAAAAAAAATACTTGAAATTAAGGTCTAAAAGTTATAAAAAATGCAGCAATATTAAAAAAAATTGGGTATAAAAATTTTGCAGTTACTGTGTTTTAAAATTGCTAATTAGACCGTCGATAATTATATTTTTCCATATTTTACGACAATATAACTTAAAAAGTAGCGGAGATATCAGCTGATACACATCGTAGGTTGTCTTCTGACTTAGCAGTTGGTGTGCACTATGGAAGCCACAATTTTTATCTGAAATCAATGGCACAGAAAAATTACTTTCCTTTATACAATTACGCTGAATATGAAGCTCCATCATAAGCGATATTTTTATTTAAACTATTTTTTTTTTTTAATAAACAAAGTATGAAAAAAATGGTAAAAAATTACGACTTAATTCCACAGCCCTCTAAAAAATGCAAATTTTTACTTTTTTTTTTGGAATGGAGGTTCATATAAAAGATACACATATAAAAAATAATATTAATTTTTTATACCTTAAAAAAATTAATGAAAACGGCCTTCTACACGTATTTCCCCCTTAATGTAATTTGCTCTTGTTCTTGACTTATTTTTGTAATCAATTAATTTATTTATTGTTGCAGTGGTTAAAGTTCAGGCTAACAATCTAGTGGACAAGGTACGAAACCGCCTGGAGCAACTGGATGATTTTGAAGAAGGCTCTGTGAGGCAAATGCTGGACTTGTCCCAGCAGGAGTACGTGTCGAGGATAGAACAGTTGAACAATGAGCTGGTTCAAGCTTGGCATGCAGATCTAAGAGTTAAAGCGTTGAAGATTGCTATTCAGTGTGCAAAGCTGTTGGTTGATACATCGGGAATGGCTTTTTATCCTAGTAAATTTGTTCTTATTACTGATATTCTTGATATATTTGGTAAACTTGTCTATGAAAGACTGAAAGTTAAGGCTGATTACTACAAGTAAGTTTTTTTTTTTTTATATTTTCTATTTAAATTAAAATTAATGTTGTATCAAATTAATTCCATCTGATAATTTTTGAGAATTTTATAACAACTCAAATATGATAAAAAATAATGTTTTAAAAAATTCGCATTTATGATTTTTTTTAATTTTTACATCTCAAGGTGTCACAAAAACAAATATTGACTTTTTGGTAGATTTTACTCAACAAGAAGTCAAAAATTAATAATCGTAAACATAAATTCAACAAAACAATAACAAAAAAAAATTTATGCCGTTTTGGATGTAGAATTTTTTAAGTAAATTTTTTTCATAATAATTTAATTGTTATAAAAATTAAAAAAATTCTCAGATGTCTTTTAACTTCAGTTTCATTCATAAATTAAAAAGCTGATTGAGTAATAATGATAAATATTTACAAGTGGGGTCAACCATTTTAATTTTAATTTTTTTTTTCAACGAAATTTCTATTAGATTTCATTGATATATTTTTTTTTTTGAAAAATAAATAAAAAAATGAATAATTAAAAAAAAAAGTCGATTATCACAACTTTAACAAATTTTCAAAAAAATTTATAAATTTTTTAGAAAATTGTGACTTTTTTTTTTTTAATTGTTCTTTTTTTTTATGTACTTTTCAAAAAAAAAGATAAAATAGAAATTTTATCCAAAAACATGAGAGCCAAAATTCCAACTTTTGAAGGCAAAAAAGCTATCGAAATCTTTATTTTTTCTTTCACGACATTTTTTATCATAAATGCGCCGTAAAAACATGCAGAATCAAAAAAAAATTTGAAATTGTTAATTTTTCATTATACTGAAGTTGGCTGACCATTGTTACTTTTTTTAATTGTTATAAGTTATAACAAATCAATTACAATAAAAAAATGCTTCTAAAAATTTTTTTAAATTTTCACTCATGGAATTTTTTTATTAATTTTTTTTCATTATAATTTTATTGCTAAAAAATTTCTAGTGTCTATCAACTTCAGTGTCATAATTTTTCACCTAGTTATGGCCCAAAATGGGGTTGACCCCACTTGTAAATAATTACCATAATAATAATATTATTTTAATATTGAATTTTTTAGAAGAATTAATACAATTAAAGTTGATAAAAAAATATATTTTCAGACCTGGTAGTAAAGTACCTAAAAGTCTTCCAGATAATTTTACACCAGATATGGTTCCAGAAAATGCCAAAGAAACCTGCAGAAATTGGTTTTACAAAATAGCATCAATTCGCGAACTAGTACCACGCCTGTACGTGGAAATGGCAATAATTAAATCATACAGTTTTTTAACAACAACGGAGTTTAACACAGCCCTGCTACGAATTACTAAAATGATTCGTGGTATTGGAAATCCATTGATCGCTGCTTACGCAAGATGCTACCTATGCCGCGTGGGTCTCGCGCTTAAAACAGCAGACTACGAATTTATACGTGAAAATATTTACGATTTTTTGTTAACGTACAATCAATTATTTACACAAACAATGAAAACAGAGTTAAACCGCCAGAATATATCGATATTTATATACTTAAATCTGTACACGCCAGCGCTGGACTGGATACTTCAGGTTTTAACTCGTACTGCCGATGAAACTATACTGTCAGAAGTGATATCACGTTGTAAATTACAAGCCAATTGTGCATTATTATTAAATGCAATACTCGTTGCCTTCAAACCAGCGTACATTTCATCTCGAGCTATGGAATTCGTTGAGCTTGTTGATGAGTGTAAACAAGACATTAGCTTTCCTCAGTATCTGTTGTACCGAAGTCTGGGCGAGTGTTTCATCCAGGAAGATTTGCCACGAGACGATTGTCAAGCTGTTTATGAAATAATATGGAGATACATTACAAGTCTGCAAGAGCCAGTTAAATTTATGCACTGCGCTGAAGTTTGGATACAATTTGTCGTAATGCATTTTTCAATTAAAGAATTGAACGAATTTTTAAAAGAAATAATCAATCATTTGAGCCCCAAGCGTATGTATGAAAATTATTACCCGCAATTGCAAGCAATAGTCGAAAAGATAGTGGCAAAAACTCAAGACTTTGAGTCGCTTTTGGCGATGGATAATTTTTTACCTCTCATTGATTTGTTTCACAAGGAAAGTATCAAAGTTGAAGTCTGTAAAAATATAATCGAAGGTTTCAGGGCTCAGAGTGGTCTGGTTACAGACCCGATAATAATAAACGCGCTGATGTACATCGCGAGGATCATGCATGACTCAGTGAATGCACTGAGTGTAGAAGATGAAAAACGACAAATTGGCGCGCTGATTTGCGATCTGGTGCAACGCGTTGACTATGGACGGGATTTCGAAAAGCAACTGAATTATTATGCTGAGGCAAGAGCTGCTTTTCCTAATCTGGATGCTGTACATATTCAACTAGTTCAGTGCGTTAATCGCCAAGCTGTTGAAACTAGGAAAATTATTAGGGGGCATCATACCAGACGAACTTCAGCTTTTGTACGTGCGTGTGCTGCTTTTTGCTTCATTACCATTCCTTCGTTGACGCTTGTTACGACTCGCTTGCAATTGTATTTACTTTCGGGACAGGTTGCGCTGCTAAATCAGTGTCTTGGTCAAGGTTAGTTATGATTATTATTATTTATTTATTTATTCAAACACCAATCGGCTTTATATACATTAGATTTACATTAAGTACATTTTAGTTTTAGGTGAAAAAAGGAAAAAAACCATTAAGATTTTGTTAGAATTTAATTTAAATTATATTAAATTTCATTTACTTTATAACTTTAAGTTAGTAACAGTATAGAAACAATATTTCTGAGAGTAATTATTACAAAAAAAAAAAATTGCACTTTTCAAGAGATTAGTGGTGATTAGTTAGAAGTAGTCGTTTAACCGATGATATAAACAATGAGATAGAAGTGTCAAATAATTCGATTTGATCTTAAGTTTGGCCTAGAATAGATGATTCCTGATTGCTCCAAGATCTCTGGAGAGTCAGTGTGTCCATTAATGATTTTGAATGCAAAAATTAAGTCCGATATTTGTCTTCTCTGGGAAAACTTGTTGATCTGGAAGTTACTGTAGACTTCCTGAACTATATACATTAGGGTGGCGCAAAAAAACCGACTATTTTTTTTTTTGAGTCTCGAGTGAAAAAATGTTAGTTTTTGATGTTTTAAGAGCTCTCCCAAAGGACAGCTCAAAAAAAAAAAATGTTAAGAGGTCGCTCCAAATTTTTTTTAATTTCAAAAATCGTGAAAAATCGATTTTTTTTTTTTAATTTTTTTTCTCGTTACGTCATAATTTTATAGACCAAAAAAAGTAAGTTCCTGAAAGTTTCAATTCAAAAATTTAAAATTTTAAAAGGTCGCTCATAATTTTTTTTAAATTTCAGTCAAAAAATGCTAATCCAATTAAATAGTCACTAATGTACCATAAATGCCGAGAAAAACTTTTTAATGCTGCTGAACCTAACTTTTGAGTAGTTATAAATAGATTACAATTTTTAGAACAAGGAAAATTTTGCGACGAACATATTATTATTTTTAAAGGAATTTTTATAGCTAAATTCGGTATCATTAGAAAGATTGACAAGAATTTATGCTTTTTCACAGTTTTATATATTTTTCAGTAAAGTAAAAGACCCGGTTATTGACACTGGCCTAGTTGTTTGACATTTGCAATTTTCTTCTAATTAAAAAAATAAAATTTAAAAAAAAAAAAAACCAATTATCTTAAAATTTATAACTCAAAAATTATATTTATTAATTTATGAGAGTTGATTTTTTTACCTTAATAGTCAATTTTTTATGTTAAGTTTATAAAGCAGTTTTGAATAGTTTATTGGTTTTATAAATTTATTCTGTCACATTTGTCCATTAAATTGTTTGTAATTGTAATTGATCCTAAAATAGCACTATTATTTTTAAAATTCATTTAAAAAAATACCCAAACTATGTATAGTGTGATTAGAAATTTTAAAAAAATTATTAATCCAAATTTTTCTTATTCATAATCTGTAAATCTCGGCAGTCACATAGTGACTGCAGGTCACTAGTTATTATTAATTAATAAAACCCTTGGATTATAAAATTAATTAAATAATAAAAAATTATTATTTCTAGCTGATGCCTGTTTTAAAGCCGCACTGAGTCTCATTCCCGAGATGCCCAAGACAATAGAAATTGATGGACGGCCTAAAAATACTGAGCCTTATTTACTCTCTTATTTATCAAATTTCCTATCGACGCTGCTCGTTGTTCCTGATAGTCCTGAGCACGGTGTTTTGTACTTGATGAGAGGGTTGCTTAATGCTGTTCAACGATGCTTCGATGAAAACAGCTCAATCAAGTGTGCTCTCTACTTACGAGTTCTTGATTTACTGTCTACAATTACGCTTGAAACTTATCCTTATCATGTAGACAAGGTAATCTGTCGTTATTATTTTTGAAAATAATTAATACCTTATGACAAAAAATAATAATTGTAATTTTTTAGGTTGATTCCAATGATAGACTTTATGGGAGCGATAAAAAATTTATTAGCGAAGTTGATAAAATTTGTACTAAAGTTTTAGACGAAATATTAAATCATTTAAAGTACTTGGGGTCTACTAGCCAGTATGACAAGCAATCGTCATTGTCAATGGATTTATTTGGGCGGCTTGTTATGCGAGCGGATCTCAAACAATCTACGCTGGCTAATTTAACTGTTAGTTTGTGGAATTTATCCCTGAAACACGGGTGTGCTGATCCAAAAATGCGAGTAAGTTAATTATTTTTTTATTGTATTGATGTTTGATATTGATGATTGATTTTAATAATTATAACAATAGCTGAGCACAAAAAATTTTTGGTAATTATTTGCAAGTGGGGTACCCCATTTTGGGCCATAACTAAGTGTAAAATTAACGTTTTCAAATTTTTTGTTATTCTGCTTGTTTTTACGGCGCATTTATGATAAAAAATGTCGTGAAAAAAAAAAAAATAAAGATTTCGATAGATTTTTTGCCTTCAAAAGTTGGAAAAAATTTTGGCTCTCATGTTTTTGGATAAAATTTCTATTTTATCTTTTTTTGATATATTTTTTTTAAATGCATAAAAAAACGAACAATTAAAAAAAAAAAAAGTGGAATATCACAATATTCTAAAAAATTTATAAATTTTTTTGTAAATTTATTAAAATTGTGATAATCAATTTTTTTTTTATTGTTCACTTTTTTTATGTATTTTTGAAAAAAAAAAATTTATCAATAAAATCAAATAGAAATTTCATTCAAAAAAATGAAAATTAAATTGGTTGACCCCACTTGTAAATATTTACCAAATTTTTTTATTGATTTCGCGTTACTAGTGCCAAAAGGGTGCACCTTTTGGCATTAGTAACGAGATTTGTTGTAGAATTTCTGAAAATTATTATAATAAAAAATGATTTATTTTCAGACAAGAACGATAGAATATGTGAAACGAAAAAGTAAACTTCCACAATTTGAACATTTGTCGGAAATATTGAAGAAAATATCGTGAGATTTATTGATGAGACAATGATTTATAATAATAATGATAATAAAATTGTGTATAAATGTACAAGACACTAAAAGTGATATAACTGTAATCTTATTTGTAAGTATTTTGTTAATTAAATTTAATTGATTTACTTATACATATTTTTATTTATTGATTTCCCTTTTAGATTAATATATTTAATAGGGTGGTCCTTAAAAGAGGTGTTTACGAATTTTTTTGCTCCTAGGAGCTCAAAAATGTTTCCAAATTGATAAAAAAAAATTCCCTCCAAATTTGAGCTCTTAATATTAACTTTAAGATTATACGCGTTTCAACCTAAGTTTTTTATAGAAAAAATACTCGATAATTTAAGCATTAGATATGTACTTCATTTATTTTCCTTTGAAATTTTTAAAATTCAACAATAAATGGAAGACAGATATTTCTTACAACTAATAAATATTTTAAATAATTAAAAGTCACGGACAAATATTGTCAATATACTTTAAACCCACAAAATATTTTTTCAAAAAACAAAACACAGATAAAGTAAATTTTATATACAAAAATATTAAAAAGTTATTTAAATTTCAAGAGATAAATTTTTTAATAGTTCTTTTTTTGGAAGACTGTAGATTTTTGTACGTTTAATAATTTTGATCAATTTATTCTTTGAGAACTTTACGCAATGCATCCAAAAAGATGTCAGCGTGTAAACGATCAAATGTCAAAGCTGGTCTTAATCTAACTGCATTTGCGCCACATCCACCAGCTTGGATGCCTAAAAAGTAAATTATAATTAATAAATAAACAATCTGAGATCATAAAAATAACATTTAAAATTTTACCTTTAGCCAAAAGCTTCTTAACAATCTGATCACGTATTTGAGGCGTAGCTCCGTTGAAAGCAATAAAAGTACCTCGACCTCTAGATGAATTAATTACCGTCGAAAATTCTTTCTCGATTTTTTTAAGATTATCTAGAGTATACTCCCCAACTTTTGAAACTTTCTCCAATAAATTATCTCTTTGAATAATATTTACGATAGCTTCCAACATTATTAATTTGCTGGGGTCACCCATCCATGTATTGAAGACTCTGTATCCTTGATTGGGTCTAAAAAGTAGATTTTTGTTATCTCAATGACAATTCAATATCTTTAAGTACTGATTATTTATTATATTTATCAGTTTTAATACTTGTTATAGATAAGTATATATTTACCTCAATTCGGCAGTATGATAATAACCACCTAATTGCATTTTTTTACTGAAAGTAACAGCATCTGGTGGAGATGGAAGATTGAAATGTTCATGACACCACATTTTACCAGTTGGACCACCACCGGTCTGTACTTCATCAATTAATAATGCGATTCCGTATTTTTTAGTTAATTTTTGTAATTGTTGGAAGAATTCGGGTGAAGCATGATTGTCACCGCCTTCTGCTTGTATTGGTTCAATTATTATTCCAGCGACTGGTACATTTTTTTCTTTGTCAAATTTAACTATTAAATCTTCAACCTGAAAATATATTAATAATGATAATTTTTAAACATTGATTTTCAAACCAAAATCTATAAATTTAAATATTAACTAGCAACCTGCAGTAACTATGCAACTACTGTGATTTACGGATTATGAATAAGAAAATTTTGGCTTAATAATTTTTTAATATTTATGGCGCTATACATAGTATGGGTATTTTTTAAATAAATTTCAAAAATAATAGTGCTATTTTAATGAACAAATGTGAAAAAATATATCAAATCAAAAGGTACTAATTCTTGTCAAGACCTTTCTATACACGGAAAGAACAAGATGAGACTGGATACCATCTCAGATTATACTCAGTGACATCTGAGGCGAAAAAAATTTTTCAGATGGTAGCTAGTATAATCCAGATTACACTGAATAATATCTGGATTATACTCATTGTAATCTGGATTATACTCATTGTTATCTGGATTATACTAGCTACTATCTGAAATTTTTTTTTCACTCAGTATAATCTGGGATTATATCCAGTATAATCTTGTTCTTTCCGTGTACTCGTTACAAAATTTTTTTAGTCTCTTAATTATATAAAATTAATTTTTGACATATAACCACACTTACATGTACAAAACAAAATAAATAAATAAACAATTGACGTTTATCGCGAAATTCGAATGTATTTATATGACTACTTCAAAAATTTATCATAATAAATTAATTATTGCTGAAAAGCATATGAAACATCGAAAAGGCACAAATTCAGTTCAAGACTTTTCCAGTGACGCTAAATTTGATTTAAAAAATTCATTTTATCATATAAATCCGTCCAAGACAAAATTCTCCTCATTCTTTCAATTATATCGATATGAAAGGATCAATTACAAATAATTTAATAAACAAATGTGACCAAAAAAATTTATAGAATCAATAAACTATTCAAAACTGCTCCAAAAACTTAACATAAAAAATTAATTTTTCAAAAATATATAAAACCAAAAGGCACTAAATCTTATCAAGACCTCTCTGAGGGTACAAATCCAGCTCAAAATTTTTCCAACGATACTAAATTTAATTACAAAAATTCATTTTATCATATAAATACTTTGGAGAAAAAATATTCTTTATTCTTTTGATTATATAAATAAATTACAATAAAAAATGAATACATACCTCAGCAAGACAGCGTTTATCTTCAGCAGCATTCTGGGTAACATTATCTTCCAAAGGGTATTTATAATGAGGAAAGCTAGCAATTGGCCAGTCAAAAGCAGGTACATCAAGTTTATGAATATATTTACTGTGTGTTGTTGACAAACAACCGAGAGTTCTCCCATGGAATGCTCCTTAATAATGAACAAAAACAATTAAAATAAGTAACATAATATTTTAAACAATAGTTAATTATCTACAATACTAAGCATATCAAGCATTCATCACGAATACCAAAAATACACTATTTCCTTATCGTTAATCTAATAATTAATTATATAACGTAATTTATTTACTACTTTTTTTTTTTTTTACTTAAATTTGATTGTTTTTTTAACATTAAATATTTACTTTCTACATATGATGTATATAGCCGATTGGCGTCTATTTTCTAATAAATAAAAAAAAAATACCTTGGAATGACATAATTGAGTATTTTGGCGAGCCAGGAATTTGATTCACCATACAAGATTCCATTTCTTCTTTGGTAAAAGGCTTGCCGCCTCGATTTTTCTCAGCGTACCACATAAAAATATTTTTAAATGCATTTTCATTGGAACACGAGCCGCACATCATAGTTGTAATGTTTCCAAGGCCTTTGGGAGCGACCTGATGCATATTAAAATTATAATTAATGTCATTGACCACAATTATTTAAATATTAAAAAAAAAAAAAAAAAAGTATTACTCCAGGCCTAAATAGCACATCCTTGAGTTTTTTTGGCCAATCAGCACCCGGATAGACACCCAGAGCTGGTCTGTTGACGATTGCCCTCTAGAAAAAAGTGGTTTTGTAATATTTACGTTGGTATTTATTTTTGTATGGTAATAATCGATTATTTAAATCAATAATTTTACGCACTTGGTTATGAGGATCCGAAAGAGCTTCCAGCATTGCCGGGTGGTTGTAACCCAGAGGTACTGATGATATTTGCATGTAGACGTCCAATAGTGTATTCCCGTCAACGTCTACCATGTAATTTCCTGATGATTTGTCATAGTCTGCAAACAGTTGGACTGTTGCTGCTTGCTGGGAATAAAGAAACATTTTTTTAAGTTTGATATTTGATAATTATTTTTTTGATAATATACTTTTTTACCTAAAATAAAAAATGTATTGTTTTGATAACTTGATTTTTTTTACTGAGAAATTTAAAAATTTTTTTCACAAAAAAAAACAATGAATGATATTTTTAAAAATATTCTTTATTACTGATTGATTTTCTTAAATAAAATTAAAAAATCTTAAATTTCATATTGTAAAAATTAAATTATCAAACATTTATTGTTTTGATAACTTAATTTTTTTCTAATGACAAATATCTGACAAATTTTCAGAGTTTTTTCTAAAAAAAACTATCAATATAATTTTTAAAAAATATTTTTTAGTACTAATTGATTTTCTTAAATAAAATCAAAAAATTTTGAATTTCATATTATAGAAATTCATCATGTTGTTATATCAGCTCCTCATTTATAAATATTACAATATTATAAATATTATTGTTTATCGCTAAACAAAAAGTATTAGTTTATTTGCCCGCTATAATAATTATCCTCTGAAAAGTCGTAATATTGTAGAAATTACTAAAAATAAATTGTTTTAATAAATCAATTTTTTTTTTTTCAGAACTAAAATCAACAATTTGACAAATTTTTTTCACAAAAAAATCATAAAAATCTATATGCTCATTATATACAAGTAAAAATTAGAATAATAAAAAAAATATAAAAATCTATTTTTTAATTCCACATATAGAAATTTAAAAAAACAATGAATGGTATTTTGAAGAAATATTTTTTATTACTGATTTATTTTCTCAAATAAAATAAAAAAAATCTCAAACATTTATTGTTTTGATAACTTAATTTTTATCTAAAGACAAAAATCGACAAATTTCAAGAGTTTTTTTCAAAATAGGGTAAATGCACCAATTATTGACCGATTAAGGTTTTCTTTTTCTGTACTAAGCTATAAAAAATCTATTGACCTACTAAAACAATTTGTAATGAATTTTATTAAAGTTAAATACTTAATTAATAATAATTAATAACTATTTATAATAAAAATTAACAAAATTATATTAATTTTGTTATTTGAATCTTGAAATACTAAAATCACCAATTATTGACCGAAGAAACCCAATAAATGACCGACCGTTCTCCAATTAATTGACCGCTCAAACGATTATAAGTAATTTTGTAAACTACATGTATGTAATTAAATTTATGCAATACTTTTGAAGTATTAACGACATCTTTAACAAAACTAAACATACAATATAATTTTAAACCGTACTTTTTTATAAAATAATATAAATAATAGCAACAATTAACATAAAGTCACATTTCTTTAGATCACAAATAATCACAAATT